TCATTTGTTAATAACAAAAAATCACGCATATGTGCATATGTGTATGGCTAACATCTACTATATAGTATTTAATACCAATAGGATAAACAGTTAAAGCTCATACAGTATTATATAATACCAGTGCAACCAAAAACACATACCAGTGCATAAGATAGATTGTACTGTAGACATGTAAAATGATTTATCAATGACAATTATCCACAATCTATTAAAGGCAAGTGCACATACACTATACATTATTTAATGCATACCAATGCTTAGCTATATTATAATTTATAAACATCAATGTTTAAAGCACCCATAAATACATACACATACATACATAAGCATACAATATGTTTGTACGGTTTTTAGGGAACTATGAAAATATTATATATATTTTTTAATAAATATATATATATATATATATAATAATAATAATACTGTATATGTTATGTAATATTAAGCTAATATATAATAATGTATAATATTGTAACCACTTCATTTTGACAATAATGTTTGTTACTCTACTCTTATTGTTTGTGTTAATAATAATAGTTTTTATTTTAAGTGAAGTTTTCTTTCGTTATTATTAAAATGTTTTTGCAAAGTATAGTTATATTTACGTTGGTTTCGTATAGTATAGGTATCTATACTGACTATGTGACATTGATTGATTCTGGTGAAGACGACAAATTTTTATCAAATCAATCGTACGAATTGGTTAACGTTATTGACCGAAACACTCTTATCATACGAAATTCGAAATGCGATGTTTTGCAAATAAAGACATCGGATGTTAAAGAAAGATTTTCAGCTGACGTTGGTGTCAACCGTAGATTTAAGTGCAATGGATATGTCAATGTCGAAGACAAAAATGAAACATCTATTGAAACAATACAAAAATGGATTATAATTAAGATACAAATGGTCACTGTAGATAGAGACATTAAGGACGCAGTCAATCACGTCTTAATATATAAAGACAAAATGTATGAGCCTGATTATGGATCACATACTTCTGGTATAATTTATATACACAACGACAAGTGCGAATCAACTCCTGTACCGTCAACGTATGTTACAGTTCACTATATTTACGATACCAGCACCGTTTTGTACAGATGCTATCATTTGCAATTTTACAGTAGTCAAATTGATAAAATTAATTATAACTACAAGATTGACTCTACTTATACGTTGGAAGTATTACCTATTAGTGGTAAAATAATTTATCTCAAAACAAAAGAAAAATTTGGTAGTCATTCAGTAAAATTAGAGCCATCGTGTCCGACAACAGAAGATAGTTACATAATTAACAACCCCGTACTTAACATATCCACTATTACTTCAACTGAAACAGTACACCATACATCTACAGTTACCAGTACACAAATACAGCCAACTGAAGTAATGCAAATAAAGACAACAACTACTACAATAGTTTGCCAACCGACCGGTCAGTCGCAAGAGATAATTAAAAACGACATTAATAATGTATTTTCCAAACGTAAATTATTAGAATCAATAGGATTGGTATCGTCTGCGACTCGCAATGCAGTACTTCGTCAATTTACTTCTCAAAAACCTCAACCCGTAACTCCAGTACCTATTCCTGTAGAAGATAATAGATTAAAAGTAAAGATCACAAATTTTGAACTACCAAAACAAACTAATAAAGTACAAGATATTAAATACGAAGATGAGAAAGAAGATGATAATATCGACGTAATTCCTTTAGAAAACATATATGTTTCAAACATTACAAGGAAATTTGATGATCTAAACTATACAACGGTAGCAGCTTACCATGGCATTCAATTTACAAGATATGGCAAGCTATACGCCTTCACAGATGAATTCATACATTTTATTAAATTTGACTTCCCATTTGAAAATTTTCGCATATCTTCTTTACATGATATAAACTTGTGTACAGAAATGATATCAAAAATTACTGTAAGTGGAAACATAACCGAAGCCGAAAATTTTGTGACTACATTAAACAATACATGTCAAAGTTTCGAACAAAGTATGGCCTCCTTTTCCGAACAAATTGATATGACCGCCACTAAGACACTTAAAAATTTCCGTTTAAGACAACAATCAAGAGGTGAAATAAGAAATAAGCGTTTCATTGATCCGATATCTGTGGCTGTAGGAGCCGGTGCAATCTGGTTGGTGACGGAAGTGATCTCCGCTAAACACGACCGAAAGAAACTATACGATAGGGTTACCGATTTGGAGGATTCTGTCGAAAAGACTGCAAAAAGTTTAAAGATTGTAGCAGAAAATTTCATAGGTTTTTCCAAAGAAGTTTCCGAAACAATGATAAAATTTAATGAAAAAATAAATCTACTAAAGAGTTACACTACCACAGAAATTAATAATCTTTACAATTCATTAAATGATTATAAAGATTACTTAGAGAGCAAAATAATCATTGTAGCTATAATGTCTATTTTTAACGATTATCGATTGGCAGAAAATAATTTATTTCAAAATCAATTAGTCGTACTTTTAGATGGCATACAAACATTTGAAAACATTTTCAGTGTTATTAATTCAGGGCGACTTAGTCACGGATTACTGAGTTGGCGGCGCCTAAACCGTATATTAAGCAATATCGAGAGATCTTTTAATAACAATTTTGACTTAGGTATTCATAGATCTGAACGTCAGTTATACTATACTTTTCCACTAATTTCTACTGCAATCGATCCAAAGACGAACAAAATTTACATTTCCATTCGAATACCGCTGACCAGAAAGAAGAGTAATAGAAAATATACCATAATAAAGCCAACGTTTTTGCCGTTTACATGTTTAAAAGAAGATTGTTTCAATAAGGGTAGTAAAAATAAAACATTAAGCTTCATCAACGGTGATACGCTATGGTTAGTAAATGAAGATGAGACAGACCTAATGGGAACCATATCACCTAATTTTATTAACTGTCAATACATAAACCATCAGTATATTTGCTTTACATTTGATGTTAACCAAATTATGGAAGCAAAAAGTTGTTATAAAGGTATCTTTGATTGGGATGAAAGAAAAATTGGTCAAAATTGTGACATCATTACACGTCAATTGGACGACTATCAACCAATTGCTATCGGAGGTGATCGATATGTTATTCATAAAAATGCACTACCTGTTTATGATTTATTGTGCGAAAACAAAAATCCAGTGAGACATCACTTAACTGAATTCATAGAAGTTATCAATCTAGATCCGGGTTGTGACGTCTCATTCCCTAGTATCGGTCGGATCCTCAGGGGTCCGTTTGCGAGGCCTCTTCGTAATGAAGTGGATAACCAAGCATTTTCATATCATTCAGAGCTTTTGACTGAAATACAAAAAATGTCGACAATAAGTGATGAACAGGTTAACAGTTTGATAATACCAAACATTACGGTTCCATATATAAGACAATATAACTCAACGATTGATGACGTATTCTTCGAGTGGGACACAAAAACTCTGACAAAATTTACAAATTATTTGTCTACTATGCAACAAAATTTAGCAGAAGCTATCAGCGAAGTAGAGACGGTAACGGCAAAGAAGACCGGAAGTTATTTTGTTAAAGGTTTAGTCGGGACATTTAGTGGTATCATTCAAGTGTTGATGATTACTATAGCAATAATGGGTGTTTTATCGTACAGTAGAGTAATAGGTTCTACGGCTTGTTTTCAAGTAATTGCTATGACTGAGGTTGAAGCCTCTATCTTTGGTTTAGATCGAGAATTGTTTTCAATAGATATACAGACAATCGTAGATCTGACAGTTATCGGATTACTAGTTTTTATTTTAACGTTAATTGTTATAACTACATGGAGAAGAAGAACCGTCTACACCCATTCAATTGGTAGGATTATCGAAACATCTTCAAATAATTGGACTATTTTGGTATTCATAGTAAAAGAAACACCTAACATATGTACTTATTTTGTCGAAGTCGTCGAATTGCGAGTACCTGTGTTGATCGGACAAGCAGGAAGACAAATTACTGACTTAAGAGTAGCTAACAAAGTGATACCATGGCATATAAAGAACGGACGTAGAGGAAAGACATTGTCGTTGGGAGAGAAAGTTCATATCTATGACAACAATGACTCATTGATCGATGGATGGCAACAAATTCAGATTAAAATAAGCGCTATTAAATGGAAGTATTTACCAGAAATGCCACATAACAGACGTCCGGTGTTTCTCAATAAGATTAACGAACATGGAGTAGCGTTTGTGAATGTAGCGCCTAAACGACTTTAACCAATTATAAGACAAAAGACAGATTTTCAAGGACATGAAACTGAATATTTTTTTTATAATACTTTTAATACTTTATTTTAAACTTGTCTTACAAAACCGGTTATATTTCCTATATATTTTAATCACTCAATAAACTTGTTTCAAGCATTAAAAAAATTGTGTTTTATTAACTATATAAGCAATGGTTATATGAAGTAATCATTCATTCTATTATTACTTCAGTTTGTGTAAGCATTGATTTGGTGATACTTTTTAATAGTTGTAAAATTAAATTTTATGATGACAAGTGAGGTTAGACGTAGTGTTTCATACGAAGCATTGGATATTAACAATGCAGATCCAATCGCACCTGTGTACCGTTCTATTAATGATGACCAACTAACCGATAGAAGTGTCATGGATAGAAGCTCAATTGGCGTTAGAGATAACGATAACCATGAAAGACCAACTGAACGCGACAATACATTTATTAGTCATCGTTTTGTTAAGTCATACAAGCATCCACAAATCGATGCTTATAATGGAAGTAAAAGTGGTGATTTTGATGATTGGATAACCAATTTTGAGCTGTTAGTGTTCGGCAATCACATCATTCCTGACGCTGAGAAACGGAAACTATTGATCAACAATTTGGGATCAGAACCGAAAACCTATGTTAGATATGAAGTAACCAATGGTACCTATGTTGCGATCAAGAAGAAACTTATGGGCTGTATGGTGGATCTGAAGACTCTATGACAGAAATGATTAATCGTAAGTTTGATTACGGCCGAGAACCGATACAAACTTATATTGTCGAGAAAAATAATTTGATTGAAAAGTGTTCTCCGGAAATGAGCCTTAAGAACAAAAAGCAAACGATTGTAGATGGTTTCAAAGGATATGAGTTCTATGAGGATATGTTGGATATTACTCGAAACACAGATATAAATAGTGAACACGAGTTGATAAAATTAATAGTTAAAAAGTTCAAAAATCATGAGAAGGCTAGAAACGCAATTAATCCCAAAGGTTATAAGACTGAAGACGATGATTTAAAACGTTTGCTACGTAAAAGTATTGAAACAATTAATAATACTAAACATGTAACGTTTAATCGACGCGATCAAACGGATTTCAATAGAAGAGAATCACAGGAAGTTAATCAACGTAGTTCGAGAGACTACACACGAAATAGACAGCAAAATTTCAATTTACGTAACAGAAATTTTAAACAATATAGAGACCCTTCGTATGAAAACGATAACTATAATAAACGTTATAATACTTCGTTATATGAGAACACAAATAGTTACCGAAGAGATAGTTTTGGCGATGGTAGTCGACCAAGTAACAAGGATAGTAATACATTACCGAAGAGAGTGGATAACAACCCAAACAAGGCTGACAGACAGCAACATCCTCTACAAGAAGGAAAGCTTTCCAGACTAGGTCAAGGTGTTTCAATTGTGGAAAAATTGGGCACATTAAGATTAACTGTACCCAACAACGAAAAAATTCAAAAAACTAATTAGATCGAGTGATGATAAAGATGGACATACACTCGATAAATTTTATTATAGCTATCCATCTAAATATAAACTATATTTTGATATTAAACTTAATAATAATAATTATAAAATTTTATTCGATTCGGGGTCGGATCTTTCTTATATTCATCCAAAATTACTTATCAAACTTAAAGTTTCCGCTACGAAATGTCACCCAATCCCAGTTAGTTTAGTTAATGGATCCAATATAATAATAAACAAAAAAGTAAAAATTTTACTTTCATATAAAAATATAAACTTTGATCATACGTTTTACGTGTTTGATAATTTAAATGAAGACGCGATTTTAGGTATGAATTATTTCATGGACGCTTTGTTTCATAATAATGGTGACATTGAAGAAATTTTCCCATCGCTCGTCCAGTGTGGTATCAATAAAAATTTATTATACGATATCTCTCAAAAATCTGAAGAAAAATTTATAATTGGTACTAAAGATGAAGAAGAAAAAGAATTAATAGAAAATTTATTAAACAGGTTTACAGATGTTTTTGCTTTCAAAAATTCAGATTCGAACTATTTCAAGCGTAGGCATTAAACATTTAATTGACACCGGCGATGCTTTGCCTATTAAACAAAAGAATTATCCACGCGGATGGAGGGAAAAAAGATGAGATCACTACAATCGTTGACGAAATGTTAACTAATAAAGTAATAACAGAATCTGTTAGCCCCTGAAATAATCCGATTGTATTAGTTAGACAAAAAAAGAGAAGACAAGGTTTTGTCTTGATTATCGTAAACTTAACAAAATAACCAAGGAAGACGTGTTTCCGTTACCGCTAATTCAAGATCTAATAGACCTATTAGAAGGAATAATTTTCTTCATTTGACCTATGTTGTCAATGAGATGAAATTTCTTGGCTTTGTTATCAATCGAAATGGTACTAAACCTAATGAAGACAAGACAAAAGCCATATCTCAATTTCCTGTACCTCACAACTTAACTGGTATTAGATCGTTTTTAGGGATGTGTAATTATTATAGAAAGTTTGTTCAGAATTTTTCTTCAATCGTCAAACCCTTAACTAATCTTACACGAAAAGATATACCATTCATTTGGAGCGCTGAATGTCAAAAAGCGTTTGACGAAATTAAAAATAGACTTTTGAACCCTCCGATACTTGGACATTATAGGCAAAGAGAACCGTTAATCTTATACACAGATGCTTCCGGTATTGGTATCTCTGGAATATTATGTCAAATACAAGACGGTAAAGAAAGGGTACTATACTATGCAAGCGCAACGTTGAATAAAGCAGAATCTAATTATTCAACAACTGAAAGGGAATGTCTAGCTATTGTATGGGCTATCAAAAAGTTTCATCAGTACTTAT